TAATTGAAAGACATTAGAATCAGATACTCCTCCTAACTTCCAGACATTTTAAAATGAATATAATGCATACTTGTATAAATATCCCTAAACTGACCTCCAACAGAGAGATAATATGTTCTGTACAAATTATGTAATCTGACCGAGGGGGGGGGGGGGGTATGAAATCCAACAGTTTGGACAAAGCTAGTTAAATATCTAACTATTGCTGCCGCTCTTCTTTAGGAACAGACAGTAATTGAAAGACATTAGAATCAGATACTCCTCCTAACTTCCAGACATTTTAAAATGAATATAATGCATACTTGTATAAATATCCCTAAACTGACCTCCAACAGAGAGATAATATGTTCTGTACAAATTATGTAATCTGACCGAGGGGGGGGGGGGAGTTGACTCACCTTCAAATGTCTACATTCTACATTACATAGAGAACACATATGTGGAAATATTCTCGGAGACGCAGCATAATAATCATTCATCATTGACGGAGTTGGCAGCCTCTTCATTTTCTGGGCATCCATCTTGGGAAAAACCGGGAGCCAAGAGGCCTTCACGACCCCAAATGGAGACTTTATAGGCCCTTCCATCTCCTTCCGGAAAGGTTTCTGAGCAGGGGGGTTAGGTTCGGGGGGAGCACTGGGGCTCGGTCTGGATTCCTCATGAACCCTCCCACGGCGGTTGACACCGCCAACCATTTCAGGTGCAAAAGGAGGAGGGTGAGAAGTTGGCGGCGCCTGGTTCATAGGTGACATCATGGGCCGAGCTACCGGCGGGGGAGGCAAAGCTTGCCGGACAGGTGGGACTGCAGGCCGAGGTAGAGGCGGTGGTGCCACAGTCGGCATGATGGTCTGGGCTGCCGGCGCTACCCCAGTTCCTGCGGAAGGGGTGCACAACCCAGACATCTTGTTAGGCGAGTCCATGGGGAAAAAAGACGGGGAGTTCGGTGTGCTTCTTTGGAATCCCATCTGGCGGATTAATTCTTCAACGGCATTCATCTGTTTGCTGGTTATGCCGGCTGGCGGAGTCTGCTGGGTCTGGAACCCTTTTAGGGTGTCTTTAGGGGTGCTCTCAGCCCCATAGACCTTCACCTCCAGGGGACCTTCATCGTATCTGTACTTGCTCTCGTGCCCGTAGTCGATGACTTTGCCCTTGACCATGGAGCTGCGGCCATCCTCACTACGGAAGTTCTCCTCGCTGTTCTGATGAGACAAGCTTGGCCCCTGATTACCCATTTTCCTCATGCGGATGTCCCTTAAAATCACAGGCATGTTTTCGGGGGTCAGCTGATCGTCTGGATAACGACTAAGCTCTTCCAGGTCTTCGTTGGACAATCCAAAGCTTGCCAAGATACTTGAGGCGCTCTCGTTGGTATAGCGGCTTTGAACAGTTGGGGGATAGTCTGTCATCCTTCCCGGGATGGGCTGACTCTGGCTATTATTTCCAATGGGAAACGGATTGTCCCAACGAGAACCGCATCCTTCCATCTTTTGCTGCTGCTGCTGCTGCTGCTGTTGGTGCTGTTGTTGTGGTTGGTGGTGCTGCTGCTGCTGTTGGTGGTGCTGTTGTGGTTGGTGGTGCTGCTGCTGTTGGTGCAGTTGGTGGTGCTGCTGCTGGTGGTGCGGTTGGTGGTGCTGCTGCTCCATAGTCATTCTCTCTCCCGCTTGTCTTGCATCCATTCTGTGTGGAGGCCCCTGAACGTTTGGCCTTGGAAATCCTGCCCTCATTTCTGATCCCATGAACCTTTGGTTCTGCATTCCATCAGAATTAGGTGGGAGCTGCCTCTGAAGACCACCTGGTCCAGGTCCCGGCCTGTGAAAAGGCCCACGCGGGATTGGATCAGGCATCATAGGTCCCCTTGGCCTTGGCGGCATGTTTCCTCTAGGGTTAAACATGGCTAGTTTCAGGAAGGCCTCATTTAACAAAGGAGAGGAGGCTACAGAATAGTTGGAAGCAAGTGAGTTCGACTGATGAAGAGCCAACTGGGTCTTAATCTGAGCCAACAGTAAAGGAGGCAGGCCCAACAGAAAGGGGCTGACAATGGCAAGGTTCAGAGAATTCACAAGAGGTGCAACATTTTCCAAGAACACCATAAAGCTGAAAGTTAAAACACACAAAAGTTAATTATTTATTTTTTAATCTACTTTTTAAAGCGGTTTTACTGCTTTTAAGCATATTGTTGGGAAACTTTGTTTCCTTCAAAAAAAATTATTCATTCGGCAAATTGGTTGCTTTCAGCAGTTCCTGATTTGTTCATTTTACTTCTGCACTACGTACTTAAAAGTCTAAAGCTGGGTTCACACATCACAGAAACAAAATTTGTGGGCTAAAGCCCAGGGGTTGAATTCACATGACTAGTTAAGCCAAACCAAATAGGAGACATTGCAGCCACCCAGAGTCGCTTAAGATGGGAGACATATAATAAATAAACCAGCTAATACAGCCTAAAAGTCTTCATATTCAATTCAATTGAACAAAAGGTTTCAAGTGTTGCAACTTTGGTTAGTTTATTATATTCTTTCTGAATATATAGAACATTTTTTACAATCTCATTAGAAAAAAAATCGTGATACAAAAGTGTGCATATAATTGAACTTTCAATCTTCTGCATTTACTGGAAAATTATACATACAGAATTCAGTACATGTGCACTAAACAACGCAGGCAGCATCAACTGAACCTTTCGGCATGACAGCAGCGGTATTCAAGCAACGGTAAGCACAGAACTATCATTCAATCATGTTATTAATTACCTGGCGGGCATTCTGAAAAAGAAAACATTTCGTGAGAGTTACTTTCCTTTTGTCGTTCTGTGTTTTGTACTGAACTGGGGAAATACAGCAATACATTGAAAGTGGACACAGCAAGGAAGGGAAGCAAAGGGTTTGTTCCCATTTATGCGCCTTCTATTCTGGCATGCTTTGCTCCCCAGCAACCACCACAGTGGTTGAGGGCTCAGCAGTACTGGGGAGCGTTTCCCCCCCCCTCCATTCTGAGATAATGCTGCAAAAAAGAAACCAGCATACTGGGGACCACTTTCCTTTCGTTCGCTGGTTTCTGGACTCTCTGATCAGCCCTGGACAGTCGCTGCTACGCTTCCACCTGAAAGTCCTATGGCAGCAGCCAAACTGAAGACACCAGTTCAGCCAGAGTTATGCTGGAGGCCAATGGCTCAAGAGTAACCCTGGTTCTTGTGAACCTGAAATGGCCAAGACGGAGGCAGGCAACATAATTGCTGCTCTCTCCAAAAAGCCACAGCTAAGCAGATCACCGCTCTTTAGAAGACTATCTGGGGTACTGTTGTTGTCTAACCGTTTATTTCACTATTACAATACAATGTAATATATATCATATGTGCTCTGGGTACAAACAAGGTACTCTCTCAATTTAACAGACCAGGGGCAAGAGGTGCTCAAGAAATCTGAATGCACGTAATTGATTTAATCTGTCCTCAGTGTCCATAGCTTGCATAAATTAGGTCGACTATCTGGACTGCCAATAAAGGACAATATGTGTAGCTCAGGGTTGAAATGTGGGGTCCTTGGTGCTCTCTGAGCTTGTTTTCTTGCAGGCTTTTCATTGCCCTAACTAGGTAACATCATCAGTGCTAGTAAGGAGTGCACTGTCATTCCTCAACACCTGATGGGGAAGCTGACCCTGTTGGGCCCGAACACCTCCCTCTGTAACTGGATCCTGGACTTTTTGACTGGAAGACCTCAGACTGTCTGGATCATGAACAACACTTCTAACACCATCATACTGAGCACTGGAGCCCCTCAGGGCTGTGTGCTCAGTCCCCTGCTGACACACGACTGTGTAGCAATGCACAGCTCAAATCACATCATAAAGTTCGCTGATGACACGACCATGGTGGGTCTTATCAGCAAGAACATGAGACAGCATAGAGAGAGAAGTTAACGAACTGGTGTAAAGCCAACAACCTGTCTCTGAATGTAGACAAAACAAGAGAGATGGTTGTTGACTTCAGGAGGACACAACACGACTGCTTCCCGCTGAACCTCAATGGCTCCTCCGTGGAGATCGTAGAGAGCACCAAATTCCTTGGTGTTCACCTGGCAGAGAATCTCACCTGGTCCCTCAACACCAGTTCCATAACAAGGAAGGCCCAGCAGCGCCTTTACTTGCTTAGGAAACTGAGGAATGCACAGCTTTCACCACACATCCTCACAACCTTCTACAGAGGGACCATCGAGAGCACCCTGAGCAGCTGCATCACCACCTGGTGGGAAGTGCACCATTTTGGATCGCAAGACCCTACAGTGAAAAGTGAGGACGGCAGAGAAGATCATCCGGGTTGTTCTTCCCTCTGTCATGGACATATACACCACACGCTGCATCCATAAAGCCAGAAACATTGTGGCTGACCACACACCCCCTTCATACATGCTCTTTACTTTCCTGTCATCTGGAAAAAGGTACAGAAACATTCGGGCCCGCACAAACAGGCTGTGTAACAGTTTCTTTCCACAAGCCATCAGACTCATCAACGCAAAGAAACTGGAACCATAAATACTTGTGTATTTAGCTTGTGTATTTCTCTTTTTGTGTATTTGGCTTGTGTATTTTTTAGCTTGTGTATTTTCTCTCTAAGTTTTTAGATTTAGAGCTATATGTAGTTCTGTGTCCTACTTTTTATTTTTCATCTGTTGTCTGATGTAGCACCTTGGTCCTGGGGAAACGCTGTTTCGTTTCACTGTGTACTGTACTGTACATTGTTGGAATGACAAATAAAACCCACTTGACTTGTTTGCTGTCAGTTCATTTTCTGGTGACTTGCTTGTCTGTGGGGGTGGGGGGGGTGTCTTAAGAGGTTCCTTGGTTGGGCTGTTTACAGATGTCTTTTGGGCAGTTTCTTGTCTGGTCTGCTTTGGAAAGAACAGATTTTCACCCTAAGTTCAAAGTAAATTTTCTCTGAGGTCCAGAGAATTAAGGTTTTACTGCACTTGTCAAGATGATTAAAAACCAAACATTTGTTGTGGGAAAGAGAGTTAGCAACTGGGCTACAACTTGAAAAAAAATGGGATCACATTGAGCACAAAATAATATTAAAAAAGACTAATAAGAAAAAAAACCATTTACCCTCGGTCCACAATCACATAGACTTGGGGAGCAGTTCCAGAGGTCTGGGCTCATCCCAACCCCACCTCTGGTCTAAATGCTCAACACTCAAAAACACAGGAAGGTTTGTACAGATGCATTCAGTGCTTTAAATAACCTTACTACTGCAAAACATTCAGAGCCTTAAATGTCAGCTTCGGTGTTTGACACCAATACAATTACTGCAAGATGACCGTGGTATTTTGCCCCAGAGGTATACGGGTAGCTCTATTTTGAGACTTCCATGCTGCCTTAAGGATGCAGCAAGGATGTGGAGCAGGACAAAAATCTGGAAGGACTTGGGCTATTTGTGCCAAAGTCTTGGTCTGTCTTTGAATCAAATGTTGCGTTTTCCCAAGATTGTGCACCTGGAGTCAAGGCCCCGACTCCTTCTAAGGGGTTGACAGTAGATCATTTCAGCTTCTGTGAGCTCCAAACCCCTTTCAGCCCAGATCCCATCACCACCCCCACAAAACAGCATAGGTAGCAATTTAGAGTAATCCACTCTAAATGCAGTTCAGTTGCTCATAGAATTCAGCTCTGGCTATCAAGCTGGTTTTTTTTTTAAGCAACTGAGCTTCATTGAGAACTATTTGCAAACCGTATCAGGATCTACATTCTTACAAGCCAAGCCAACTTTTCCCTGCCTCCACCCCCATCCCCTTTCCTTCTGCAACAGGCAGCAATGTCAGGTGTTCAGTAAGAGTTTGTTGGATTTCAATACAGCTCTGCAAAATAAATATTCTCCAAAAATAAGAGACAAGTACAGAACATTGACTTGTGCAAAAACATGCTGCAACTTTGATGCATTTCATAAGCAGCTCACTAAAAAGCAATAGAAAAGGGGAAGAAAACAAACATTGGCTATTGAATCACATGTTCAATGGTGTGTGGTTGATACAGATTCAAAGATATTAGTTGTCTTCTTTACATAAGTCTTTAAACAACAAATTGGAATCGGTTCTTAGCTGGTTCCACAGAAACTCCATGAACCATGGGTTAGCAAGTTCCACCTAATGAGGAAAGAAAAGGCTTTGTGTTGCTTCTGACACCTTAACCGAGCTTTGTGGAATTCTCAGAATGCTGCATCCTATTGCCATACCTCCAAATATGTCCTGGCTCAGTTACTAGTGTGCTGTTAGCTACAGAATCAGAATAAGACCACTGGTCAGGTCAGGCACAAACACAATAGAGAGCCCCCCCTCCCCATTTTTAATTCCCCAAGCAGAAGTGGCAAGTACAATGATAATGGTCTCTGCACCTTCTATCTGAAGCGACCAATTAAGAAGAGATTGGACAACCATTTGTCTGAAATGATAGGGTCTCCTGCTTGAACAGGGGGTTGGACTAGAAGACCACCAAGGTTTCTTCCAACTGTTATTCTCTCTTATTAACTGCAAACCAGCAAGCCACAGGCTGCTTTGGATTGCTCAGTTATTTTCCTGGCATTTGCTCAAAAATCACCTGCAATTTCCTGTCGGACTACCCACCACCAGAAAAAAAAAGCCCAGGAGGAAATTGTGACAGC